GTGTTGGAAGTGATACATTTCCTGTCCAATTTCTTGTTTTCTTGCAGCCCCGAAGTATTTATTTACAGAATTTATAGGTAACATGGCTGTTTATGGAAAGCTCTTTGTAGCTTAGAACTTGCAGATGTCTCAACACTGGTTTGTTTTGTCAGATCATTTTCCATTGTAAAATAAAATAGTTTCAGTTTTCAGTAGAACATAGGATATTGCATTTATGGTCCTTATGCAGTAACTAGCCCATACAGCAGCCCTTACAGGTCCTAAGTTCAGCATACTACCAAATATATCTTTTGCAAATAAATTAGTTCAGCTTAGGAACAATCTCTGTAACACATTTGGGCCTCTGGGAATAAAAAAACCCAACTTCCTCTGGTCTAAACTTTGAGTGTGAATGCAAAGAATAAATAAATAAGTCAGGTTGATTTCAACCTGACTTATTTAGGGCTTTTCCGTTTTCCTGAGTGAAATGCTCACATGTTGGTCTGTTTGTTGCTAAACTTAGATATAGGTGTAAATCTAAAAATAGCATGTTTTCTAACTCTATATAGAATTAATTTCACAATCTATTATCAATGAAGTGTTTTTTTGTTTTGTTTTAGAAGATTGTAATACTTTTTCATAGTCAAATGTAGAATGACGGACATATAAAACACCTCTGGGGTAGTGGGCTAAAGATTTTGTGTTGTCAAACCTGGATTCTTGAATTCTCAAAATGTTTGGCCTAATGTGGAAATGTTCCTGTTAAAAGTACAGATATGTCCTATGATTAGTCTTGTTTTTCTGGGCAGAGCACATACATCCCCAAGTTTCATACATTTCAGGTTTACCATCGAGAGCTAAATGGCATTGGCTCTTAAATGCATGATGTTATACCCTGTTAAGTCTCCAACAGGGATGCTTCCTCCCTTTAAGGAAAGCTTTTCATGAAGCTGTAGATGGGAAAGATGAAGTATTTTATTTTCCTTTTGATTCTGTGATATAAACACAGAAAAAAACATGCTTAATGTGTATTTCAACTTATCTGCCCAAATGATAAAATATGTTTGCACAAATGGAGGGAAACATCTCAATGAATTTCTTTTTTTTTATGTTTGTTTGTTAACGCTTCATCACCCTCCTTTGCAAAGACCACAGCACTCACAGCCAGACCTATGAACCCTACTTTAGAGCAGACACTTTTCCCCAGCAGACCATAAATTCATCTGTAATCATGAAAGTTCTTAGTTTTAGTCATCTTATCATGTCGTGTAGTAAAATATTCAAGTGTAATTATTAATGGCTCAAGTGTTATTATTTTAAATAAACAAAAACATAACATTTACACATGAGGTTTTCGTTTCATGAATGTTTGCATAAAGGCATCATTTGCATTATTAACCACATGGCTAACTAGGGGACATGTTTTTCTCTTTTAACATCTAGTCTGTATGGTAGGTTTATGTTCATGTTTAAGTTCTCTGCTGGACATATTATTATCTTTGGCCATTTATTGTAATATTAAAAAAGCTGTAATGAAATCTACAAAAATAAACCTCATTTTTATGAGATTCTGTGATGGACTGGCGACCTGTCCAGGGTGTAGCCCGCCTCTCACCCATAGACAGCTGGAGATAGGCACCAGCACCCCTCGCAACCCCACTTGGGATAAAAAATGTCAGATAATGGATGGATGAATGGATGGATGTTATGAGATTGGGCAGCCTGTGGCAATTTCTCATTGAATAATTGGGAGGCTGAAGCTCCCCTGTAAATTTGGTAAAATAATGGGTAAAATATGCATTTTCAAACTTCTTAGATATAGTCATTAACTGCATTAAATATGTGCTTAAATGCGCCTGATTTCAAGAGCATGATCTTAACGATCTCCCCTCCGCTCCTGAGCAGCAGGATGCTGCCATCAGTCTCATTGAGAAATCCCTGCTGAGGTTTGAGCCCCGTCTTATGAGGTACTGTAAACAGTGAGAAAGTAGAGCCTGATTGAATAATACGCCAAAATACGTCGCTTCCATTGAGGCTAAACCTCTGAGGACATGCATGTCCAAAGTCAGTCCTTGGGGGCTGTTGTCCTGCAGGTTTTAGAGGTTTCTCTGCCTCAGTACAGCTCATTTCCATTCCTAGCTGATTAACAGACTTTACTCAACTGCAATCATCAGAATCCAAGAAACATTGAAAACCTGCAGCAGCCCTCGAGGCCCGACTTTGGACATGCTGGTAGGGGCTCTATCATGAGGCTGGCTGCTCAATGCTTATTGACAAACATCCATTAGGATTTTTGAAGGAGTGGCCAGACAGCGAGGAGGTTTTCCTCATGAGTCGAGAAGGAAAAGTGATCAGTCAGATGTGCTGAACTCTTGCCATGGTTTCTGCAGTTTAACATTTCAGAGCACTTCACAACAGCTATTTTTAATGTAATACGTAACATTTCAATTTAATTAACACCATTGAGCCTTCCTGGTTTCAGAGAGCAGCAGCCGCTGCTGTGAGCTGTTGAATGTGGATAATGTCTATGAAGATTTTTTTTTTGTCTCACCTGTGTTAGTATGCATTATTTACCAAAACAGGTCTTACAAAGTTTTACTAAAAATGTGCTTGCTAAAGGTTAGTGATAAACCTACAGATCAGCAGATCATCATCAGTTAAATGAATCGTTAACTAAGTAAAATAACATTTTTGTTGATCAGATGTAATGTCTGACAATAATAAATTTTGTGTCAGTTTCAAGAAAAGTGCATAAAACCTACAAGTAAATACAAATTTGTAGCTCAAACAGTAAAAACGAGGAGCTCTGAGATGTCTATCTTGCATTTTTCTTCTATAGTTGAAAGTGATGATTACTTTGTTTTATAGCCAATTAGGATGTAATTGCACATTCTTCCTTGGCTGGGAGAAGTCAATTCTATACTGAAAAAAAAAAGTTTCATTTTTCAGTCTGCCATCACAAATTAACCTGAGAAAAAGAATTTTGCAGTATTCATTTGTATTAAACAATTTTCTGCAATCTTGTTATGAAAGCTTGTGGATTTTTCTAATGTGATGTAGAGAAAGTGAAACATGTGAATCGAGAACTGCTTCAAATGTCTGAATTCCGTATGGCAAAAAGCATCATTTTACATCTTTTTATGCTGCACCTATTTGTATTAACTACTATCAGAATGCTTTTCTGAACATTAGCTTGATTGTTATTTTGTATCACAATTATATTTAATGCTTCAGATCAGATTAAGAAAAAAAAATCACACCAAGCATTTCTCTATGTTTATATTCCCTACCAAAATATACAGGCACAGTGTCTGAAAGGTAAGCAGAGCCTGAAGGCTTTGCATTTTCATTTTTGTTTTCATTTCTTGCTTAATTTATTTTTTGTTTATTTTTTTTTATTTCTCATTCAGGAAAATCTCCATCCGCAACATGCTATGAGAGGAGGAAGTACAATACAATACAATACAAAACAATACAAAAACAAAATTATTTACCGTATGTCCATTTGGATTTATGAAGGATTCGTAGATATCTAAAAATTAGTTTATTATGAGAGGGGTAGTGTTGGCCTTGTAGGTTAGAGCAGTGCGCTTGTGCTCTGAGAAGGTTGCAAGTACCTGGTTTGATCCCCACAGCCTGTACTCTGGCTTCCTGAGCAAAGACCCTTAACCTGTGAGTGCCAACCAATGGCAGCCCACTGCTCCCCAATGGGATGGGTCAAAATGCAGAGAACAAAGTTCCCTATTGCGGGACATTTAAGGGATTTACATTACATATATAAGTAGTTTTTGTAAAATAGGTAATTGCATTGGAGGTGTTATTTGTCTCGAATTCTAGGAGGAAGAAATCATGTCATATTTTTCATTTAAATGAAGTTAAGGTAGATGAATCATATGGCTTAAAATCAACTGAGATATCACAGGATGTGTTTATTAAAAGCAGATAAATTGAAGTCTGGTTGACCACCCACTACAGGACTGTTTTCCTCTGTCTCTGTCTGTTGCACAGAAACAGGCTTCATGTCTAGTCAGAACTCCGCCCACAAAATAATGCATCCGTCCGTTAAGTGTGTGGGATGGCTGTTTAGACGTCTGCTTATCTGCTAAACAGTATACAGAAACTCGCATTTATGAGTAAGAATCTGAGACCTAAGAGCTCAGCCGGAAAATTAAAACTTAAAGACTACAAAATGAGTGTGCATTGCGTTTTTAATGAAAATCTTTCACTCTTCCCTGAACCTAATTTTACTATTTACGTTTTAGGTAAATCTTAAATTAATGTTTTATTTTCTGTAGGTAGAAAAATAGAATTCAAGTTTCTCATAAATTTTTTTCATAATATTTTTTTTTGTCCAACCATATATACTATTTAAAAAATGTTACTTTAGAATGATCACTTTTAAGGCAATATGAAACAAGGTGTAGTCATCGAGAGTCTTTCAGTGGTTAACATATGAGATGTGACTGATCCCGGTGATGAATGCATTTGGTATCTGTTAAGAAAAATATACGCATAGTAAAATAATTTTACCTAAGTAGTGTTTCATTCAGTTTGGTAAGGAGATCAGTTGCAGCTCTTCCTGGACAGACGCGGGGATTTCTTGAAAAATCAGCTGTTTGTGTTCTTCCTCATAAGCTTTGCAGTTACTATACATATGTATGTTATGAGTCAGCCAAAAGGAGTGTGACATCATAAGGAAGTTAGCATTATGGCTGACATTATTTAGTTCCATGTCATAAATGCTTTCACAGCAGAATGTACTGATTTTTGACAAATTTTACATTTCAATAATCGTCATTATTAGTATAACAAAAATGTCAACAGAACACATTTCCATAAATGTCTGCTTTACTTGTTTGCCTCCTTGCTTCACAAACCAGAGAATCCATTTTGATATTTATGGAATGAATTTGCATTTAGGTTATTTCAGGAAGTTATTTTGAACAAAGGATGTTTCCAGGTTTCCCGTGTTGTTCAGATGATTGTCACAGAGGGGATTTCTTTCTTCATCTTTTCTGCAGGGCAGAGACACAATGAGGAGGCAGTTTAACCACAGGACTAGAAGGCAGGTTTCCACTGCATTCACCCATCCAGACAAGCGATGGGGAAACCACCTCAGCTGAGCTTATCTGGTAGGAGTTTATATCTCTCTGAATTACTGTACATCCAGTCTTGATACCAAATGGGTTTGTTTGGTTATAATTTTATTATTATTACAATTGTATTTTTTTTTTTTGCAGTTCTTTGCCTGTGTGCAAATGTCAAGACGTGATGTTCCTAAGGTTGTTGTTTATTCAGGTTCACTTCATATAAAATAGGCATCATGCAAGAACAGCTTAAGTTTTTTAAACAGTACTACAAATTAATTTTTTTTTGTTTGATCATCAGTCCTACACAGTGTTGTTATTTCAAGGTTAAAAAAACCCAAAAAACACCAATCACTAATGCCAAATAACTCATCCTTACATTAATAAGCTTTCGTTATTAATTCTGTTCGGGTTTAAGCTTGTTGCATATTAAAGTTTTAATGTTATTTGTTTATCCAAAACTGAGAAATATGCTGCAATGAAAAGTATTTTGAACAGTATTTCTATTATTATTCCTATTGTAAGACTAGTTATGGTAGAAGCAAGTATTATGTATGGGTTCAGGTTATGGACATTAGCAGAATATGTGTCCTCTAGCTTTGGACATTTAGGACATGATCTTCAAAGATGTTATAAAAGAGACTATATTGTATGACCTAAATAAAAACTGCCTGTGGAATCAGCGGATGTGTTTATGGTTATCTACAAAGATTGCATGATCATAAGTCATTCAAACCAGTTTGTTACCACCGTATTGAACTAAGTACATTGCTTATGCTACTGGCAGTTTGGGAATGTCTTAAAAGAAGGTAGTCAAGATAGAAGCCCTTTCAGATTTACAAAAAGCCTAATCCCTAGCTGGATTTACCTTCACAAACTCCTCACAACTGCTTCACAAATAGTATTGCAAAGAAGGGCAGCCCCAAAATATCTGAATTAGCAGTTCTTATGAAGCTCATAAAAGACAGGATAAAAACCCTTTTGTATCCTTGGTTAAGGATGTGCAGAAATATCTGACTTTTCTCTGGAACGGGATAGTGGCGGAAAAGCAAATGAAATCATTAGAATATAAAAAGAAGTTTTCTAGGAGCAGTTTTTGTCCTCATGACTCCTGTGGTGGCGTCACTGCTCTCTCTCAGGGAAAACAAATTGTTTTAAACTTATTTCATCCAATGAGCCATCAGGCTTTTTAATTTGATGTTTTGGTTGTCTCTTCAGATTCAGTCCATTCTGGCCTCTCCAAATTTACTGACGATATGTGACTGTGTGTTTGTGTTTTATTGTGTATATTTTTATTGTGGTACTAAAACTGGTAGTTTGTTTTCTAGAAAAGAGCCTGAAATGCAAAAGATCTGCATCTCATTCTTCTTTTACTAACTCTAGTTACCACTAGTAAACTATGTGGTTTGGGAGTGAAGTTAGGAACATATGGGACAGTCTGCTCTTTGATGGATGTTAAGGGCTTTATATGCGAGAAGGAGAAATTGAAATTATATTCTGAATTCAACCAGAAGCATATGAAGTTTGAGCTCTCTTTTATAATTTTCTTTAGAATTGTAGCTGCATCAAACAGCGGTTGCAGTCAAAACACAAGTGGTTTCGTTTAAGTCAGGCAGAAATTTAGTCACTGCTGCAGTTTGTTATTGGCCAAACATGCAAAGAGACCGTTTGGAAGGAACAGCCATTGGTCTGATCCACTAACACCATCAACATGCAACTGGAGTCTTTTTTGTTTTTTTCTTTATTCTCACAAACAAAGCTCTGCTTGCGGTTTTTGCCCTAGCTGGGACATGCTTTGTGCTGTGTCCTCTAGCAAAGATTCAATTCATAATCCATCGATCTGTTAGAGTTAAATGTGATCTCTATCAATCTATGGATGAAAGGTGGGATATACGCAACCACAGATAAAGAATTTGGATTATGGAAGGAAGCCAGAGTACCCAGAGAGAACATAAAAACTTCTAGCTGCAAGGTAATAGTGCTGCAAAGTAGATGTGGCAAGGTACACAACAGATTAAATCCCAAGGTTGAAAGGTTTCAGGTTTCCTGGGTGAAAGTCATGCATGCTGACCGGTCAGCCAAAGGGAAATCCCGTTGGCTACGTAGCCAAGATCAGTCACAGGCATAGTGACAGGAGCCACGCATTGTCATATAGGGCTATGCAATATGGCTGAAAAATGTTTAACAATACGAGCCTTTCATATCAGTCGATTTTGACAATTATTGATTAGTTTTTTGTTTTTCTCACTTAAAATAAAGACGGGGGGGGGATGGGGGAATCCAGAATTCAAGTGGTAACTCTATTTAAACATAACCTTGAAAAAAAAAGGGTCGGCCATACTACCAATCTTGCGTAGCATGGCCGTGTGAGACAGAGAGGCTAAATCCCTTCCACTTCATCCCTAAGAATGCCATATAGTTCTGGATCAACGCATACTTAAATTATAGAAAATTACCTTATGTGTCTTTTCTATTGATATATATATCAGGTTTCTGTTGTAATACATATTGAATAATGGGTTATTTATATTTATTTATATTTTCATGCCCTACTGCAAACGGTGCCACCTTCCAGCCCCTCCAACTAAAAGTGTTTTTAGGGGTGAAGAGAAATCCTTCCTCCCAACATTGGGTTTGTCTAAGCTTGCCTACATATCCTGAATAGAATGATATTTCATCAAAGAGAGCCCCCTAAAACCCTTTTTCTGTTTCCAATAAACAGCTACAATTCCATTCAATTTTGAAATATTAGAAAGTGTCTTTTTTTTTTTTTACCTGGCAGCAAAGCCTGGCAAAAGTCGACCGTCTCAGAATGTGGTTCCATAGGACACATTATCATATAGACATTGCCCTTAAAGCAATTTTTTATCAGAAAAAAAAAAAAAATTGAATTCTACTTCAAAAAACATAGAATGCAAAGGCTTTAATTCTTTTGATTTATACTTTTAACATTTTTAAAATGCATGGCTTTAAGAATCATGATATTTGGCTTTTAATCTAGTGGTGCTCTCTTCCAGTCCTCCAAAATAGATGCCCAGCTTGTTCCATATGTGACCCTGCTCTAACACTGTGAGTGAGGTTCCTTCATAGCAATTTATCTAGTATGATGGAGTGATGGTTTTAGTCCGTTTATTTAATTCAGCTGTAGAACAAGAACTCCTTCCCACCTTCTCCTTTTCTTTGACATTATTATTTACCAAGTCTTGCATATCGCAGAGGTAAATACAAGATTACAGCATTTTAAACATTTGTGTTAAAAAATGCGATCACTTTTATTCTGTTAACATAGCTCAACTCATTTTAGTTCAGTTTTCAGTCCCAAATCAGCAGTGATTATAGGTTTTCAAGTTGTCTCTCTCCAATCAGGCGAATTGAAAGTCAGAATCCCAGAAGGCATTAGAAGAAGCTGCATCTTCACCTGTACAGATCTTTAAACTTATGCTGTCCTCTGGCAGTCGTTTGCGTCAGCTGTTTTTCCTGAGAGCCAGCAAGGGGAGCTATAACAGCTCATAGTAATTAGCCGAAGTGGAGTTTGTTCATACATCAAAGTCAAAAACATCAATATATGTCATTGCCTCAGAAAAAAAAAGCTAGCGTCACCTATTGCGGTATTACTTCATTGCATAAATGTTGATTCCTTAGGAGGTGCTCAGAGATGCAGTGGCAACAGCATGAGAAGCAAGAGACAGAACGACGGTCCACTATTAAAACCAAATCACAGAAGCTTTTCACTAAGGAGCAGATATTTTTGCATTAACCACATATACAGTACTTATTTGGACTCATATAAGCTAATGTTGAGTTACTTACAGCTGAATTAATATCAATTCACTATGATTACCCAGATGATAAGTTGTAAAGTCAACTAGTTTAACATTTACAAGGTCAAACAGGATTTCAAATATGGAACATTTAAATCTTTAAAATGTGCATGTTGTTAAATTACAAAGGTAGTGGTCCTTCTGTAAGGATAAAAGGAAAATAACTGCAGTACAAATAACTTTTTGTTCTGTACAGTTTATGTTGATATATTTAACTGAACACATTGAGAGAATTTATTGTGCAGCATCACACATGAACACACATAAATCCATACTTACAGTTTTATGTTTTTTATTAACATATATTAGAAATGTATATTTTATTTTGCAATGTCCTTTCAATGCTATATATACAGAACCTTGCTCATTTTTGGACTCATAGCTTCAGTATATTTTATCAGGATTTGATATGTTAGTGAAAGGGTCTACAAAGTGTGGCGAGCATTTCCATTGGGACTTCTTATCCTCATCTGTAATGCTTATTTTACTGCTATTTCTGATTCGCATACTCTCCCAAATAAAATTTAGGTTCTATCTGAACTTAACCAATTGGTAAGGACTCCTAAGCCAAAGCAAAATGGCGTCTGTGGTCACTATGATCTGTGTTGCTCTAATAGTGCTGGCAGTGAGGAAGATGGTTGAAAAAGTAGGCTGGATGATTCCTATTTGAAAGTTCCTTTAGCATCAAGTGCTCCCAATCACTGCATGAAAAGTGAGATTTTCGTCCCCGTAAACCCCCGTAAACTCCCGCAGATCTGCCTGATTTTCGTCAGTTTCCGACAATTTGCAACCCGCACTGCATCAAAAGTGCGATTTTCGTCCCCGTCAACTCCCGCAGATCTGCCTGATTTTCGTCAGTTTCCGACAATTTGCAACCCGCACTGCATCAAAAGTGCGAT